CTAACAGACAAAACTGCTTTGAAAAATCTCCTATAGTAGTGGAGAAATGAATGGACAAATTCAATGCGCATTCCTTTCCGAACAACCTAATATTTTGATTTTTCGTCTTCTTAAGGAGGGAATTCCAAAAATTAGTTTTTTCTAATAATTTTGTTGCCCACGCGTTCAGAACTGTTTTCACGATGAGTCATAGAGGATGCATTTTATTTGCTCTGGCTGTTTCTTCATTCCTTTTTCATCAGTGGTCGTGCACTTTGATCGTAATGATCCTTCATCTAATGATCTTCAATGAGTCAAGAGCAATAAGTGTAGCTGATAATATAATACTTATTACTGGAAAAATTCATGTAATTAGGTCTATTAACTTATCCATTTGCTGTTTCGACAAATCAAATAGAAAACGTAGGTTGTTGGCTTTTTGACCGTTTTCGATATCATTTCATAGCACCATCACTTCAGGACGATTAGTCCAAGTAACACCACTTGTTTGCGAATTCAATGCTTACGAATAACTAAAGCTAACAGCAAAAAGCTTTAGAACAGGGGAAGTGAAGTATCGTGCATGCCATTGCGGTTGAATTATTGTAATCTCTTGGAGTAGTACGTTGTGTTTTCGCCTGAAACCTAAGATTAACGAAGAACTAGTAATCTAAGATATAGTCGAATAACTCGATTTTTGGTAGCGTATAAGCTTCCCCATTCGAGTAGAAATGATTTTGATTATGATATTGCGAAATTTAGCTGAATTGATTGACAGGTTGTTTTCTATAAGCAAGTGCTTCGCAGCGAGCACAATAATTATTCAGAACTTTTTGTTCAGCACCAATTTCCCCCTATTTCCATTGCATGGCAGAGGGTGCTCTTGTAAAATTGAAGAGGGTTTTTTGGATCTTATTTTGCTGAGTGAACTTTATAATTGCATAGGAATGAAAATTCTCGAATCTTAGCTGTGGGAGAAACATATCCTACAGCATAGAATTTTGGGGATTGGAGCCGATGGTTTTTTGAGGGCCGTTACCATCTACCAGCTTTGGTCAAGTGGTGTTCATTGAAGGTAGGCGTAATCGCTAGAGACTCTGGTGATTTGTTCTATTTCTTGGATCTACCTAACGGTCTTATTTGTTTTGGAAAGCTGCGATGGATCAGTCTTGTGGAAGGTAATCGCACANTCGGGAGGAACCTCTTTCGGTCCCTGCTCGGTTTGGTATGCCTTAAACGGCTCCGCTGCAAGCTGATCATCTCCTATTGTCACAATGGTTTCAATTTTTCACCCACTACAATAGGTCAAGGATAGATGTGGTTTTTTTGTGTGACGGAGAAAATGGTAACGACAGTTCTTACCGACAGTTCACCCCGATGTTCATTCTTTCAAGAAGAATCCATTTGTCAAGCGCCTTTGACTTCTGAATAGTTTTTGAGTATCCCGAAACACTTGATATGTTCTGTGGGTTCACAGCCATAAGTAAGTGTAATTTCTTCTACAATGCACTTATAGCCCACGTAGGAGAGTCATCAACAATAGAGAATGGTGTCCTCGACCTTCTTCTTCTCGAATGTCCAAGTTGCTTTGACCCCTTACCCCCTTCTTTTTGTTCGAGTGTTATTCATAGAAGCAGAGCAGATGACTCAGAATAGCTGTTTTTATGCCGGGGTTTTTGATTTGGAAATACTATCACTGATTCGTTTTATGCTCTAGTTCAGGAGTACACTAAGAGGGTGCCTTGAGTTGAGAAGATTCATATAGAAACTCATTTAAAACTTGATTTCAAATTCATACCGAACTGAAATGGACCGGTATTGAAGCAAATTGAATCTTTCTGCAGGTTTTGTTACGTCGGCAACATAGTAAATTTTGGCATTGTGCTTATTTTCAGATAGTGGCAGTGCTCTGAGTCGCGGTGCAAGTGCAAATGGACACGCAGCTGGATCCGACACTCGACAGTTATGCAATGCTATTGTGCGTTAAGTTATTAAATTAATGCTTTGATTTTAGTTTTTATAATAGGTTCCTGGTGAGAAAATAATCACACTTCGGTTCCAGTAAAAGATTTTTTTGCATCGAAAAATTGCAGTTGAATTCTGTAAAGATAGGCAGGAAATCACTGAACTAGCAGTAATGGATTACGCTTATTTTTGGAGTAAGATCACAGGGTTCCCTCACGAAATCGATGTTCGGGGCAAACCGCAAAAGTCCCAATGAATTTTCATGCGTTTTGCCCAAAACGTTATTAGCTGGGATAGAATGTATACAATGTTCTTTGTTCATTCCAGTCTATAAAAGTCTGTAATAGTAGATATAGGTATCCTTATGTAAATAGATAAGATATGCATGGAAATATTGATTTCCTTCTCGATTACTCTTACTTTTACTGCTTGCTGATTACTTCTTTTCTCAACTATTTATTTCAGAGGAACTTTTCTTTAAACGAAGACGACGATTTTTCTTTGGGCGTACTGAAGTGAGAGTTATTTCACACTTTTCCATTTCCTCCAGAGAAAATTTTTAGAGATTATTCATAACTTTGTACTTTAGATATGACCAAGCAGGGTTGACAGATGCTTTGAGTGGGTGCACTTCATCAAACTTGAATGAAAGAAAGGATGGGTTGCGATCGCTATTAGAAATTCTCAAGTACGTGGATTTGGTTGAATGGGAACAGATTATGTTACATTTACCCTTTTATTTACCTTCATACTTATCGCAGTTCTTTTTAGATCACACCGTAATATCCCTCAACAGGATATAAAGAAAATTTGTGACGTTCTCAACAAGCTTCTCACGGAAGGGAATCATAAAGTACGTAAAGAGTTTAATTGTGGTAGAGCTTTCCATGGCACTGGCAACAGCATCCACGATTCTTTTCTTTCTTTTATTTTATGACGACATGATGCCAAACTTTTTTACCCTACTGAGAGTCACCCACAAACTCCATACATAACTCGCATTCGTGTTTGTGGGCAGACGCCCATTATCTTGTTCAACTTTTTTTCCTGCTCAGCAAATGAATTTTAATCCCTATCATCAAAAAGTTTCAACAAAAACTCTCGTAAGAAGTTCTGTGCACGAGATCATGAGTCCCCATTGCTCGTCGCCGAGTGCCAACTGGAAATGAGCTGTGAATGGTTGATACATATTCGCTACAATCCTAATTATCGAAGTAGATGTGAGGCAAGTGTTACTAAACTGGCTATGACTGGCTTTGGCATACAAACGTGATTGCTTTGTTTTTGGTAGTGTTTAACCACTGTGTGAATGAGCCATGTTCTACACACTCGATTAAGTTCACAGCCAAAGAGGTCAGTTATGTGTAGAACACCAGAATTATTTCATATTAATGACTACTCATGGCTACAGTAATGACATGATCTCAATATAAAATCTTTTTTGTTTGGAACCCTTTCTCTTGTTATTTTTCGTAGAATTCGCTGCTTTTGGTCAATTAGTACCATTACAGTTAATGTCTATTGTGATGGATATCCTGAACGTATTCGTATCATCCTATCATGACAATCTGGGCGAATGGTTACAATTCCTTCTGTTGAGGCTCCTTCATAAGAGTGGAATCGAGATTTTGCCAACCGTTGTGGTATGCTTTTTAGTTGATTGTTGTTTACGAGTATGCTAGAAGCTCAGCTTTTTCTGTACAGCAACCGTTGAATATGGCTTTGAAAGCTGTCCGTACTACATTCCGACCGGAACTTCAATTAATAGCTATTTGCAAGAATATTCAGGATCCCATTCAAACACCGCCAGTGAAGGTATTTCATTTCGAATGCGAACACACCTTCGTTATGGGTATCTGCTTCAATGTTCACGTTTTTTAGGTGAAAGGTGCAACGCTTAACTATTTGCATGAATTATTACAAGGAATGGAACAAGGAGCAAGTCTTAGTCGTGACGAAGTACGAGCAGCGGTTCATAAGATATTTCAGTGGATGGAGGATCCAAAGAACGTTTCCATTAAAGTTGTGAGTGAAATTTAGAATATTGGATTTGAGAAAATAGCGATTTCTCTTCTGCTATTTTAGTGATTTTCAAGTTATTAGCATTTTTCACCAATTCAGATAGTCTATTTAGGCTTGTGAACGTGTAATATACGATTTCTTCTCGTTGAACACTGCTGATTTCTCGACGATCCTTTCCAGCTATCCACCACAGTGGCGTGAATTTGCATATAGTCTGCTGAAGAAGAATAAACCGAGGTCAGTGCCAGAGGGTATGGCTTCATTAGAAGACGCGAACCCTTGCATTTCACGAAACTTTTCTTGATAAAAAAACCAGTGTCGCCCTACGAGCTAAGAATTCCACAAGGCCCCCNCCCCCCCCCCCCCCTTTGAAGCGGTAGTTTGATTTACTCGGCTTCCGCTTGAGACCTGTTTCTGTGGTTTAGTGTTTCTGTTTGATTAGCTGTAAGTTGATTGTTTCTGGCCACCGCATTTGTTGATGCATTGGCGATTGGGATCACGTTTTCTTAATGGGGCCTGTTTTGTCATACTTTCATATCAATCATTTTGGACACAGCCAAACACTAGCAAGAAAGTAACAGTGCTGAAAAGGCAATGCGTCACTTACGAATCTTCTCAGTTTCTATCCTCTTTCATGCCCAGACCGGCTTTTCTTATCCATTCGTTTGTTGTTTTTGATATTATCTCACGTTACTTTTTTCCTTCCAGTCTGATTTTTTTTACACTTTTCACTGTGGGGCTTACTTTCTTGACATTGAACAGTACCCTTGTCATTCAGTTTTTTCCATCTCTGGTATTTTCTATGTTTTCTCACCTCTGCTTGGCCTGGTACAGCATTGTCGCCGGCGACGGTTTATACTGTTCAGCGTGTGTCTGATATGCCCCAAGCTGGCGACTAGTTAATCCCTCATGACAGGTCACCCGCCTTATTATGTTTTGGTTGCTGCTCTAGTTATACACACGTGAACACTTTCAACAGGCCTCTTGAGCCTTTTTTAACCTTTACGATGTACCTGTGGCTTGACACCTGCTTTTTTTACATATTTTAAGTTTCGACGCTGCTACTGCGCCATGTAGCAGCTGCAAACTGCACTGAGATTCCAGTCAACCGGGGAATTTGCTTTGTGCTCGTTAGGAGACAGGAAGCGTTTATATAGGGATGAAAAGAATCGTCAAAGTGCCTGCGCATGATTTCTCTCCCTTGATTGTGTATGCATAGCCGCAGATAATGCGGCTTTTCCACGCCAGTCGGTTGCTTGCCGTCATTTCTCTTTCATATGTAATACCGTTTCTGATGCAATTTAGATCTTCTCTCGTCTCCTTTTTGTCTCTATCCTGATTTTTAACAAGCTTCTCTTTTTCTCTTCTATTGATGCCTTTTTTCATTACTCAGTAAGGTTGAAGTTTAGACTTATGGTTTCAACCAGTGTTGAACGGTAGGAACTAATCCAGTTTGATCGAAAACTTGCCTCTTAAATAGATGCATCGTACAATTGGAATTTCCGGAGTAAAATACTCTTTGAATCAAAATCCCGACTCTGAGTAAAGAGCGTTGTCACATAAGTCACACTAAGGACTCTCTCACAATTGTTTTCGTTGAAGTAAAGCTTAGAAATTCTCGGGAACACTTTGTTTATTGGCACCCATGTGGTAGTGTTGTAATGAGATTTTTGTGAGAATTAGAGGCTTGGAGTTCGCGTTTGTAGTACCAGTATCTAGAACTTCTGAGTACGTTTTTTGTCAAGGAGTCTGGTGTTCGAGTGACGCTAGCCCGGCCTATTAGCTCACTAGATAAGAAGATTGTTGACTTCTCCAGTCACGTTATAATTGGCATTTTTCAGTGACGCCATGTTGCCAAGGTCTCCATCTACAGCTCCTGTTCGTGAAGCGATCTCTGACATGTCTGCCCAAATCACTGACTTTGTGGATAACCGTGGTGTGATGGGACCAATGACTACGTCGGTCAATCTTTCAAGCAACTCTCCCAACACTTCTCATTTCCTCAACGGCAGCTCATCAAGACTGCTATCAATGACTAATGAGTCGGATTTGTCTACGTCATTCGCAGCTGATGTAAGTGAATTTGCAGGCCATTCCTGCCTTGTATGTCAATCAGTTTCTGATTTCTCGTTTACAAAGAATTCTTTTTAGGAAGATAAAAAATCATCAAATCCTGAAAGTAGACATAAGGTATAGTTAAGGCGTCAATGTGATATGTTTTAGCTCTGTTTGTTCTTTATTCTCTACTGTTTTGAAGTTATTTCGGAGTCTATTCTCGAGTTTTCATCTGCCTATAAGATGGAGACAACTGATTATGTTTAAAGATTAAGTGACTATACAAAACC